TTTTTTTTGAGAATCTGGGATGGTGCCCCCCTGGGAGTTGGTGCCCTACGCGAACTGCGTACTCTGCGTGTAGGGAGCGGCGGAACTAATGATAGAATTAAACTATATACAAACGAGACTTAAAATAAATGCATTATTAATAATTGCATAATATGTGATCTATTTAAACCACACCACAATCCTTTGACTTACTGCATAGGCAAGGTTCATGTTCAGCTTCATATGAATTACATAATAATAATAATATTAATGATGATGATGATGATGATAACGTCAACAAGGTCAAGGTCAAGCTTTATTGAGATCCCTTGCGGTCAATTTGGATGCAGCGAAACAGAAATACAAAAGACCCATACAATACATTCCTAGAAAAACATAACTACAAATATATAACTAAAATAAAAAGAAAATTTCTCCTAAAAAATCCTTTAGAACTAGCTATTTCTAATGGATGAATATTTCTGAATCTACAGTTATTTTACTATTGTTTCAGATTACACAGGAAGTAAATCATTTCCATGAAAGAGTAACTTATTTTCAAAGAAACATGATGATTTAATCATCAACTCTAATCTGTGTTTATTAGCCAGCTCCTTTCAAAACAGTGCAGGGCCTGCAGGCTACTTTGTGGCCATCTGGTGGTCAAATTATGAATATATAGCACCTAACAAATATGATCTTCATGAACTCAACTCCAGACCACAGTCTATACTCCAGAAAAACATAAGCAGTATGGACTGTTTTGCTAAATGAAACAAGATAAGCAATGTGCATTTCAGGAATACTTAAAGTAAATTTCCAATTTAGCACCAATAGAAATAAATAAATGTCAGATATAGGCTGTATGAAATGCTTTGTCTGGTATAGCCTACTGCAAGATATAAATATATGCAATTGTTACCTTATTATCTAACAATTATTCTAATTTTAAAACACACACAAAGAGAGAACAAGAGAGAGCGAGAGAGAATCATTATTAAAGAATTTAAAGGGCTGCTCCAATGATAATGAATTCATCAAATCTGAATTTCCGAAGTTCAGTTTTATAAAGCAACTTTTATTTTACAGGATCATTTTACAGGATGATTTCTGCCAATCAAATTTCAATTAATTATGAGAACGACATCAACATACTTTTATTTTTACGTACAATAGCTCATATATATCTCTTACTTCTTTTTGCATTGAACCTTTTTTAAATTATACTTTCAATGGTTTCAATTAAAATATTTCCTTTCGAAACTATAGTAAATGGTATATTTAAAACAGGAAAAGTCAAAGAAAAATTATTTGACAATCACTTACAATAAATATATTATATACTATCACTAATAATGATGTTTAAATAACGGATAATACTACAACTACTTCACAGTTCCTTAAAACAATCTACTTTTACTATACATCTTTTATATCATTTGAACCTATTTGAAAATTTTAAAAGCGAAATAGAAGATTACTGCCTATTACACACAATATTTGAACTCGCTCTAGATTTTCTCTCCTGATGAAACACTTCTCCATCTTGCCCCTTTCTCCAGCTTAATTGTCTGTCACTTTCCAGCCCCATGCTCTTCAGCTTTTTGCTTAACTGGAAGACCAGCAAGAAAGAATCAAAACCTAATTATAGCAACAATGTGAAATGAGAGAAAACACAGAAAGCTAAAGGGTGTTGTGGATGGTTGCCAGGGCACAGTTATTCATTCAGAATTTGACAATGAAAGTGAACTCAGTGTTTGAGGCGGATACAAACCTCATTCAGAACGGTCGTCTGTAGTGAAAGATCATTCAGTGTGCATTTTCCATTACAGGACAATTTCACTCTGACAACCTGTTTTTTTATTAACTTGTCATCTAGAGAAATACAGAGTTAAAATCATCCTCAACACAGAATAAATGAAAACATATCACAGTTGATTTTAATGTCTGTTTCAAGAGTGACCTTCAAATCTCGTTTGAATGGTGTAAACTCACCTCCATAGCAGATAAAAGGCTGCTTTAGATCACAGCTATATTGAGCCCATTTCCCAGAATCGGTTGCTGACATGCCAGCACAGTTACTAGACACTAAACTCAGTAATGGTTGATCTGCTGCCCAGTATCTAAAGAAGTAGCTCCACTGATTCGACCATTCCCAAGAGTCCAGAAACAGACCAATCCAGAGCGATGATTCTTTACTGATCAGATTCTGCTGCTCTGGGCTGCTGATACTCGCCAAATCAGTGTGGTGTTGTCTGCAGTAACTCTGAGCATCTCTCCATGTCATAGCAGTCTTATTAATAATAAAACCAGTGCTGTCTGTTCAGAAACACAAGATAAGGACCAGCCCTCAGTCAAGGATCAGCTAAAGTGGAAAAAACAAACTCAAACTAAGAGGACTCACCATTGAAACACACAAATGGGAGAACGGTGCTGCAGCTCTCATCATACCAGCTTCCACTAAAACTCCTCACACACTCCCCATCACCACTCGGTTCTCCTGGCTGCCACATACTGTCCTGGGAGATTGCGCTGTCTCCCATAGACCAAAGCCAGCGTCCCACCCCCAAAGCATGGAGACCTATCCATACTGAACCGTTGTATCCAGGATCCACTGTAGTTACCAGCCTTCTCACGTCATTCATGGTCATAACAGCGGCCAGATCAGTGAATCTTGCTCTGCAGTACCTCTGAGCGTCAAGCCATGTCATACTTTGGTTCATAAACTGGTACATTGGTACTGAAGGCCTAGGCCCTTTAGGAGGAAAATAAAAAGTTGGTAAAGATCATATATGCTTAGAGATATAAATATCATAGAGATATAGTCATGATTAAAGCCTGATCAAAGTCACTCTCGTGGCAATTTGTAACTATTACACTTTTTGGCGAACTGGTGGTGACTTTGTATTCATGCTTTCATTCACAACGTGCCTTCATACTTTTCATATACTTCTGTGTAATAATAAAAATGGTATGGATTCATACAAAATCGCCAACGTTTTCTCATGAGATCAGGTTGTTTAGAACTCAGTCACAGCTTTGATGATTATAAAGGGAGTGTTCTTTGCTCACCTTCTCTAAGCTAATTTTTAGTCCTTTTGATAGTTATCAGCATATTGTTGTGCTGGTAATCACAATCGCTGTTAAATGCAGTGATGCACAAACGAAATGACAGAACAGAACACTGGAGAAATAACTAGATTGAAACGTTTGTAGACAAACTTTAAGTTGGCTTGAAAAAGCCTAGCTAGAA